GCCCAAGAGGATTTAATCGGGGTCAGCAGTGTTCAGTAGGTTATTTGAATAAGTTATTTAAACATGTACTATCACTGCCTGGCTTGTTTGGTCCTTGGCATACGCTTGATGGGGTTGTGGGCAGTGTGGGGTGGTCGCTGGTCTGCTGTTCTCACTGGCTGGGAGGAGCTGCGGCTCCGTGCAGTCTGCTGGCAGCTGGTCAGTGGCACATGCGCCTAGGGAAGTGGGAATCCCCCATCCCTTTTACCACATGAAATATAGATTTAGGTTGTATTGCAGAAGCCAGAGGAGAGTGGGAGGTTGTGGGCAACTGTGCTTTCTGCTTAGAGAAAAGAGGGGTGCAGGCTTTGGGGGGTTATTTTGTGTGTGACTTGCTCTGGTTTGCAGTCTGTAAATCTGAAACCTCAGAAACCTCCACCCGTTGAAGAGAGGCAGTCACCTGCCTGTTTGTGAGGCCGTGTAAACCAAATTTCATTGAACTGTGTGTTTGTTATTTTGAGATTCCAGAACCAGGATCTCATCACTGATGCAAACTGTGATCAACCAACCCTGGTAGAAACTGCACAGGCTTCCCTTCCTTGGGGCTGCGGGGTCTTTTTTCTACAGGGGCTGTCATAGTTTTCCCAGTAACTCCCCACTGCTGACAGGAGCCTTGCTGGTTGGGAAGTGCTGCAGAGTATTTACATGCTCCTTCCCCTACCAAACTGGCTCCTGCTCTCTTTGATCCGCCCTGTTTGACGTCAGCAGCGTGTGGGATTCGGCCGTGAGGCTGGTGGGCTGCTGGGCTCCCCTGGTGATGCCCCAGCCATGGGGATAGCTGAGCTGGAAGCAGGCAGGGTCCCCGAAGAGCTGGCGTCGTGCTGCCAGGACGGGGATGGGCTGGGGGAACACTGTCTGCTTCTGGTCTTGCAGCAGCAAAAAGCTCCAGCAACAACAGGAGAAGCTCATCCCAGGGCAGCCAGGCACAAGGGTCTATCTCCTCGCGTGCCCCGGGAGCAGGGGCTGTGGTCAGGGCTGCAGAAAGGAAGACGAAAAGTAAGATAAAAGCATTTCTGGTCTCTGCAGCACATGGTGAGCAGCAGTAGGCTGCTTTCAAGTCAATTGTTTCAAAACATATCTTTAAATGAATTAATAATTAGGTGCAGCTTCCATCCTGTTAACATAATGAAGCAGTGACCTAACAGCTCTCTGTCTGAGACGAGGTGAGTATTAACACTGCCCGTTCTCTGGTGTTGGACAAGTCACAGAAGGCTTGGTTGGGGGAAGTATCTTGTGCTTTGCCGGAGCACGCTCTGTTCTCTTTGGTTGTATTGGGAGCTCAGGGCGTTAATCTCCCTGCGTGACAGAAGCCGTTTAGTTCCTGCATTTGTTACAGGTGACAGCGTTCACCCACCTCTCTCTGTATCTCCGCAAGGAGGTGGCCGTGCTGTCACTGCTTGGGGATGCCAGCAGTGTGCTCGGTGCTGTGTGAAAGGGAGGAGAGAGCTCCTGGGTGCTTAAAGGCAACAGTGCAGGGGGTCAACTTGTAAAGGTCGTGCTTTGGCACCCAGCCGTGACCTGGGCGCTCCTGCTGAGCAGTGGCATCAGGCTCCCCGGGTGGAAGGTGAAGCAGCATCACATGGAAGAGACTAGAAGGATGCTGTTGGGGATTTGGGTTAGACTTTTAGCAAAAGAAAAAAAAAAACCACAAAAAAAGGGAAAAGGAGGCATCAGCTGTGGATAGGCATGGTAGGTGCATCTTGATACAAGTGCCAGGTCACAGGGTGGAAGCAGGTTGGAGCTGAGCAGAGGTTAGGCAGAGGGAGCCGTGGCAGCCGGGCTTGTTTGGAAAGGCAGACCAGGGGCTGGACAGTTTGTATGGGCTGTAGGATGCTTAGGTACAGGTCTCTGGGTCTCCACTGCAACCCCAAAAGTGTCCCTTAGTCTTCCCGTGCCTCAGTTTCCCACGGTGCAGCACCTTGCCTGTGGGAATCTTGTTCTGTCAGGTTTAAGGGACATGAGCTGTTTGATGCTGGTGCCCGGGGCTGCCCTGGAGCAAGGCTTCAGCTTGATGTGGGCACTGTTGGGGTGGTGCCTGTGAGGAGCCCTGTGGCTGTTGCGAACCAGTGGGTTCCTCGGCTCCTGAGCAGTGAGGGAGCCCTCCCGTAAGCCCTTATTAATGCTTTTGGATGTAATTCTGGCACATCGTGACAAGTATCTCATTTCTCCTTCTTCCCTGTCGGGTTAGACCTGTGGTTAGGATCAAGCAGCGCTGACAGTCAGCCAGGCATTACACCAGTGAAATGTTTTAACTGGAACGTAAAAATTGATTTGATCTCTTGGCTCATGCGACTTAACGAGCAAGCCTGGAGCTGCGCCACAGCCCAAGCCCCAGTGGCTCTGCGGGCAGGAGGGCTGCCTCCTCCACTCCACGCAGCCAGAGGTGCCTGAAGACTCTGGGGGTATTTCCTGGAGGAGTTCGGTTTTCCTGGCAGCAAACAGGTTTGATTCATTCAAGCATCTCACCATGGCGGAGCCAGTGCCATAAACTGTGATTGGATTGAAGCATGCTTAGGACCACTGGGAAAGATGATGCATGTCCATGAAGGCTCTGCTTTCTGTGGAGAGGTTTCTGCCAATGCTTTTGCCTGGTGTTTTGTCCTCTAGTATGTCCTGGATCCCTGTGCGCAAGGCAGAGCGACCAAGTCCCTCCCCTGCCCTGAGCATAAGGTAGTCTAGCAAATGCTTAGAGGAGAGTGGTTAATTAGTCACATTTCAGCACATTTCATTTTTAAGGGCTTTGATCGTGGCATGGAATTGTGGATCTGTCGCCAAGTTTGAGCTTCAGATGGATAAATAAATGATAAACGATCATTTGGCAGCAATGAACCTACTGCACTCTCTTTGCATGTTTATGTGGTTTCCCTTCTCCCATCTGTTCCCTTCCTCCAGCTCTTCCTTGCGGGCCAGGCTCTGCAGCCCCCCTTGCCTGGCTGACGGCAGTCCCCAACCTCGCTGGATGGGATGCGCTGGCTCCAGCCAGAGATCCAGGGCTGCCACCTCAGTCGACCAAATGAGAGCTGAAGAACAGCCTCTAAATATAAAGCCATGGGTTTTGCTCGGTACTCCACGGAGACCAGGCTGGGGCTATACCAGGCACTTTCCCCATGTGCTGGGGACAAGGCACTGAGGATGAGCGTCCTTGTGTCCTCCGAACCCGTCTGTGGAGGTGCAGTGCAGGAGGACAGGGAAAGGCTCCAGCTAAAAGCAGAGAGAGAGGAATGTAAAGACAAAATAGTGAACAAAGAAATGGTGCTGATGAGATGGGATGACAGGTATTGCAAAAGCCATTAAAAAATTGTAACGAGAGACCGGGCTGCGCAGAATTTTCCTTGTCTTTCTGCTCTCTCTTTCCCAGCCTGGTTTGTCTTCAGATTAATTCGCCTGTCTCGTGCTGGTGTTGTGTTTAGCAGAACGGTTTGTGGCGAGGTTAGTTAGTGCCTGTTCCTCTCGGGTGAGTCACTGATCAACTGACATAGATATTTCTGAAGATGTTTGCTATTTGGAGAAATGCTTGTCATGTGTTTGATCTGGAGTGTGTTCCTTGGGAAGTATTTGTGCAGATATGCGCCGTATTAAAAATGTCTCAGAAGGTATTTCCTTGCACCAGTGCTACAAGTGTTACTACCTGCAAGAAATGCAATGACGTTGATCACCTGCATCACATGTTTTTTCTTGTTTATTGGGCAACTCCTACTTACGCAGAGACATTTTGAGGTGGCATCAAGCGCGTGCATGGATGAAATAAAGCACATTTAAAGCAGTTCTTTCTGTGAATGGTTCTGCAAGCGAAATTACACTTGCAAATATGATTGGAACGAGTGACCAAAAAGCACCACTGATAATAAGTAAAAGGCACCAATATCGGTTAGAAATAATGCATTTTTTGCAAGCTGGTGTTTGACAGCTCTGCTCTGCAGACTCTGCCAGCCTTTGTGGCCAGGCAGGTAGGTAACCTCCATGTTTGTGGTGGTGTTTACCCTCTGCAGGAGGAGGAGGAGAAGAATGTCTTTGGGTCTTTTATGTTCTTTTTACTTCCCTTTTCCCTTCTCTTATGCTCAACATCAGCTTCTCAAATTGCTGCATTCTTCACTCACAAGAGAAGAATTTGCATTTTTCTCTGCACTTGGCTTCAGTAAATGGCCATGTGGCATTTTACTTTTCAGCAGTTCCTTAAAGAGCTCCCTTGTGGCTGATGAATGCAGAAACTTTGTCATAAACTAAACTACCCTTCCCTCCCCTTAATCTAGAGTGCTGCTTACTCAGGAAGCCTCGGATGGGTTTTGATGACAGGAGCTCAAAGTGCTGAGTAAGCCGATGTGGAATTGCAATCACTCTGAAGATGCCTCATTTTCTTGCAGACTTCTTGTCTTCTCCTGCTCTGTGTGTACGCACAGATTCTGGGCACAGTGCCCCGCTCTGCTTTAATTGCAGCACAGATCAATGGAAGGCTGTGGTTCCCTCCCATTGTTGTTGTGTGTCTCAGTTGAGATGTGAATTCCGACACTGATGCTCCACACGTGGGAGGTCAGAGTTGAGGTGGGGAGGGACGAGGCTGGTGGAGAAAGCCTGCACAGAGGTAGGTCGCTTGAAAGCATGTTTTGGCTCTCCAACAACATCACCCTGGAGCTGTGGAATTAGAGATTAGTCTTCTCCCGGAGCTGATGACGAATCATGGTGTGGGCATTCAGACAATCAGCTTGGTTCATCAGTTCTTTTGCTGGCATTTCAAATGGTAGACAGCATGGAACTAACCAGTACATCGGTGGTGGACAGCCCTATGGAAATCTGAGGCGAATCTCCCCTACCTTCTGGCCTTCACTTTCTGTATGGTATTTTGTTTCTGAGGCTGATTAATATTTGATTTTTTTCTCTCTCCCTTTCTCTTTGTTTCCAGACAAATGATGCTGCAGGAAATACCTGGAACTGGCTTTACTTCATCCCTCTCATCATCATTGGCTCTTTCTTCATGCTCAACTTGGTGCTGGGCGTCTTATCAGGGTAAGACACTAATGACTTGTTTGTCTTCATCAGGATATGAAAAGGGAAGATGTGTTGGTTTTAGCACTGTGAAACGCTGTAGGTGAAAAAGAGGAGATGGGGTGATACATCACACTGCACATTGTCCCCCTTCACACATTTCCTCCCTGTCCTTTCCTTCAGTGGGGTATTTCTATAAGACTATAGAGCCATGGGATGAGGAATAGGCTGGTGAAAAATCATGAATTGAGATAACTCTTGGGTCAGGATTCAGAATTAAGTAAGCTGTCTGTAATTGTACTGACTTGGGTCTGGGCAGCCATCTCTTACTCCTGCGTCGTCTTGAAAACCCATCAGGAACCCACTGATGCCGGTGTAAATACTTCACTGCTGGAGATCAAAGTGTTCATAATGCATTTGGTCTAACTGGGCAGCATGGAGAAAGGGGAAGCTCAAACAAAAGGCGATTAGAAGATCTCAGGGTTGGTTTTTTTGTTTTGTTGTTTTTTGGTGTGTGTGTGTTTTTGGTTTTGTTTTTTTTTTTTTTTTTTAATCTCTAGCTGTTTAAGCCAAAATCTGGATGTTGGAGACACACTGGTCTCTTGATGTTGAGACCCCGGGGATCATCCAAGAATTTGGTGGTGTTGCATGTGAGTTTTGGGTTTGGGCCATTGTAGAGATCAGGCCGCCAAGTTTCAAGGCTAGCTGGAACATCCCCAGGGTCAGTGGAAATTTGATCTGGAATTAACAACCTGACTCAAGATTCTTAATGGTTTGTGAGCTCTTAGACTTTGGTATCTTGTTTTGCACACAGCTTCTTCTTAGCCCATCCAGGTGATCTAGATTATATAGATCTATCAAGACATAGATTTATTTCTGGCTCCTGGCAGCATGGAAAGAGAGAAAAGAGTTAATGCTGCTGGGTGGTCAAATCCCTTCAGTGCTGCATCTTTGCTCTTTCTTTTTAAGTAACTAGAGAAAGAACAATGTTTTCCAAAGCACTGATTCAAGCTCAGTTTTATTATGTTGTTGAGGATCCTTGTCCTCAAATCACGTGCTGGGGGCAGGAACAGGAGGGCAGCAATGCCGTTTTGTTTGAGGACTGGGAGACGTGCTGCTACGGGAGAGGGTCAGGGAGAAGGCCATGTCGTGCACTTTGCTGTTCCTTCAGTCCAGGAATTATGGTCACGATCAATAACTGATCAGAGCCATTCGTCAGACATCCCATTGTACTGGAGGCTTTGTAAAGGAGAGCTTTGTGACCATACTTGTCTGTCGTATGATTGAAAGAGAGCACCAGAGCCAGGGCTGAGTGCGGTTCATTAGACAGTCCATCTTCCTCGTTCCACAGTGGGGTCAGCCCACGTTGGCTGTAATGATACTTGTGATTTAAAATAAAACTCAGAAGCCTGCAGGCTCCTGTTTCTTTGTGCTGTATTCAAACATGTTTGGTGACCAAAAGATGGAGGCCTCTGTCTGGCTCTCCTGAAAGCCTCTTGGTGCCTAGGGCAAAATAGAAGTATTATATAAATGTGTATCTTTTATAAAAAATGCAGCTCTGTGCATCAGGCTTCTCTTTGTTAGTGGTGAGAATGGCAATATCTTCTTCACAGAGGGAAGCTTTTAAATTCTGTTTTGCATAGTGGTTTGACGTTCTTGGCTGGAAATTTTCCTGGGGAGAGGCTGAAGAAAATAAACATTGTAGCACAGGTGTTGACCATACTGCTCAGCAGGCTGCTGGTGAGCTTGCAGCTAATGAGCAACGAAGAAAACTGGATATATCTGAATGGACTGGTGATGAGAAGGCACCAGAAAGATTGAAAGACCCTCTGAAGGCAGAGACAGTTGCCTTTATGGTCTCTAGCCAAAAGCCCCAGACAGCACTATAGGAAAAAAAAAAAAGAGACACTTCTGCTGGAGGTGATTGTTCGCACGGCTGTCTGTGCATGGAGAAGGGATCACTGGCAAATGCGTGTTGACTTCACAGGGTGCAGCTTCACTCAAGGACATTATGCCATCCACGTCCCAGTGACAGTGTCAGCTAAGCGGCTCCTGCAGCGGAGACTCTTGGCAATAGCACACGTTCCTCTTTCAATAAAACTAAGTTGAGTTAGGGTTAGGAATTCTACAGACAGCCCGTGAACAGGGTTAACTCAGCAGTCACTTACCCACTGCTTGTTTTCATGATCTGTGCCCCTCATAGCCTTTAATATTATCCTTGCCCCGTCCTGGGGGTGATGCAGGGCTCTGCTCTCCTTCTCCACACATTAGAGAGGCAACTGCAGGGTACAAAGAGGGGATTTAATGCTCCAAGGAAATGGTTGCAAAGCTGAGGTTAGATCACTGGTTACCCAGGCTTGTGTGCAATCTGCATTACTGTCCTCTTTCACAAAAATCATGTTAGTCAGGAGGTTGTGTTTTATTTTCCAATACTTTGCCTTATACATCACCAGCATTAAAGGGTCAAGGTTCAACATGCTGTTGTGCCTTGGAAAGCCACAGAAAAAGCTTTTAGCTGAGTATTTTTCATTGCTGTTAGTTTTGAGCTATTCCCTCTCACATATTTGTGCTCCTCAGTGGGCAATAAGGAAGCTACAAATTTCTAAAGTAGATATGCAGACGCTATCACAGATTATGGCAATGTAAATAATCTGAAATGACAAGAAGTTATTGAGCTTCCTACTGAAGCTAGATTATACAGAGTTTTTCCATAACTCTTAATGGAATTTTCTGCCTTTCTGTAGTTATTTGTGAACACATGTCAGCACCGGGCAGATACCTAATATGAGTGGGCTTAGCTCCTGGGTTTATCTGTTTGAGCAGTGTGGATAGACTGACCCGGTTAGGATCCTGACACTTACCTGCTAGCAGAATGTGGAAGCGTTTGCATTGCGAATGCTACAGAAGAGGTGATACCTGTTTTAAAATAAAGAGCAAACAACCCTTCCCCTCGCTGATGCTTCTGGAATAATAATAAAAGCAAAGGCAGGGAAGTGACAGGAAGATGTGGGAATCTGTAAGTGTTCGTAAAAACTTGATATAAAAATAACCCGCAATCTTGGGCCACAGCTGATATGAAAAAAACCTCTGAGTACCTGGTCAAAGATGTGATTAAAAGCCTGTTGACTCCATAATTCAGATTAAATGAGACACTGCCTGCTGTACAGCGTGCCCTCCTCATGTGCGCTGATCAAAGCGCTGCCAATGCTCTTGTAATCGGTTAATATTTAAATACCTTCCCCAAATGGCGCGCACTGCCTTCTGTTCCTTTCCCCTCCCTGATGCAAGCACTGGGGGCCAGACTGCCAGCAGAGCTCGGCTCTGCTGGTGCCACCGAAGATCTGGATTTCCCCAATGATCCTAGGACACGGGGCGTGGGGTTATCGCAAACCTCTTATTTCTGATGGTGCCGTAGGGATGCTGGGCTCTCCTATGCCTCTACAAAAGAGGCATGCTGCAGTGGATGCTGTGCCGTGCTTGCTCACCACAATGCTAAAGGTGGGTCTGACTGGGGAAATTGATAGCTGCTCCCCCTTGCCAGGTTGCACATCACAAGCGAAAAACAAACTGTGCTGTTCTCTAGCTGTGGATACGGCTGGATTTAGAGTTTTCGTGGAGTACTGCAGTGGTCAGAGATGCACAAGTGAACTGCAACTGGAACAGCTCCTACAGCCCAGGAACTGCCTGTGCTTGTTTGCAGAAGGTACGGGGCTCCCGAGCGGGACCATCCTGTTCGCTGTGGAGCAGTGGGAATGCGGGCTTGTGTCCCTTGGTGGGGATGTTCCTCTCTACTCCTTGCTCTGTATTCCCCCTGCTTTCTGTTTTCGCTCGCTGGTGCTTGATCTGTCTGTGAGTTGATAGAACTCAACAGCCCTGCAGAAACCAATAGAGCAGAAAAACACAGATTATTGTCTTCTGGAGGAGCTTTTAGTGAGTGCCATAGTTCCTTCAAGAGAAGATCAGGACTCTATAGGGCCAGGAGAGCAGAAGTGGGAGGAGAGATTTCTCCCCCCTTTGGCAGCATTAAGACATTTGGTAGGCTCATTTGCTGCTTCATGTGGACTTGATCAAGATGGACAGACACAGGGTGTGTTCTGCCCATCCATGTGCTGAGAAGTGTGTTGGGGTGACTGCCCAAGCCTGATACCGCTCCACTCAGACACAAAAAAAGGGAAAAGAGAAATGTAAAAAAATAAAAATTTAGGCACCCACTCAAAGTTCTGCATCCTCGAAAGCTGTCCTTGACTTTGTTTCTCTGTTTTAACCATGAGAAGCCATTCTAGCCATGCTAACTTTGTTCCAGAAAGCTGAGGCACCTTGAAACTGGGCCAGCATTTTGTAAGGTTTCAGTGCAGAATGGAGCAGCAGCAGTAATGAAAATGTTTAGGAATTTGTATCCATAATATATTTCTCTTGAAACATCTGTCTGTGTTGACTGGGGTGGGTGGTTATTCTTACTTATTAGATTTTTTTTTAAACTTTTGGTGACTTAGGTAGCAATAAAGGCATCCATCACAGGGAATAGAAAAGGAAAAGAAATTGGCTGCCTCTGGTGGCACCAGAGGAATGTTCTGGCTCCAAGTCACACCAAGAAGGGTTGACCCCAGATGCCTTACAGTTTTCCCTGAGCACAGGGTTGTTTGCTACTTGGGATGTCATGAGATCTGGCTTCAGTTCTGACCAGAAAATGCCCTGTGATGATCCTGATAAATTTTTAATTGAACTCTGCGCGTGGTTCTGCAGTTTACAGTGAGGAGGGAAAAAAAAATACCATTGAATTAAGAAGTCCTGACCAACACTCATTCTGTTTTCTTGTGCTGTTTTCTTTCTAGCAGGCTGCAGCCCTCTGCCATCCTACTCCGGCAGCTGTGGCCACCACAGATGGGCACCCATCTCCATACACACCTCAGCTTCCTGGTGTTCCCTCCCTCAGCAGTGATTTCCAAGCCTGGTTTTCTCATCTGGCTGCTGTTCCCCTCCCAGCCTCCCTTTCCCCTCCATCTCCTCTCAGCCCAGCTAGC